TGGTGGCTGGGCGGATGAGGTGGGAAACATCAGACGCTGTAAGCAGCTGATATTGAAGGATCCCACCAAGGCACATGTGCATCCTGGCAAACATCAGTTTCGACAACTTGTACGACTCGCCACATGACCATCAGACACATGCATCACATGTGTCGCGTGACTCAGGTGGCAGCAGCAAGCAGCCCGATTGATCGAGCTCAAGATCTCTAATCCCTCTGTGCGGATCCGATCACTGGACCAGCTTGGAGTTCAGACGTCCCGCAGTCCAATTCAGTTGGCATAACATGTTGGTAGATAGGTGCATGTGTGTTTGTGTCTTCAAGGCTTGTTTCAACCCACACAGTTGACACATCTTCGTAGCGCTAAGGTCGGTGACTGTCGCGAAGTCTCAGACAAAGCGTATCCTGAAGCCGATGTCGTTCCTTGCGGAGTTGAGTGTGTACGCCGAGTGCACGCAGCTCCAGCCCGACGCGGCTTCAGTTGTCTATGAGGAAGTCGACGGGGCGGTGAAGGCATGTGTGCGTGTGGCAGGAATCGATTGGAAGAATCGATGGGAGAGCGGGCAGAGTGGTGTGTACCAGGTCCTGGATGAGACAGCAGCGGCAGTCACAAAGACGTCACAGGTCAACGACCCAGAGCTAGCTGAGCTGCACTCCACAGACCGCATCTTCGAGAAGATGAAAAGCACCATCTTTGGCAAGCAGGCGAGCAACATGTCCAGCCTCAACGCGATGGCCGCCGCGCCTGCAGCCCTACCGCTCCAGTTGAGTGACATCAGGCCTCCTGCTCTCGCAGCTGAAAGATCAGATGATCTTGAATCAAATTTTTCATGGGCTGCTTTCCGTCTGACAGCAGCTGCGCCAAAACAAGCTGCGAAAGCCAAAGCAGCCCCTAAGAAGGGGAGCAAGAGGGGCAAGGCAACTAGCGATGCACACGCAGATGACATGCCTGTAAAGCGGGCGTGCTATGTCAGCTTGGACCCCTCCGGTGGCGAGGGCTCTTCGAAACGCAAAGCTGCTCCTGAGCAACCTGAACCCGATGTGTTTGCGCCCAATCACTCCGAGTCGGACGTCCAATGGCACGATTCCACTGTGGCAAAGATCAAAGAGGTCCTGGCCGTCTCGCTCGCGCACACCATGGATGAGGACGCGCTTGCGTCTGAGTGCAAGAATGTGTTCAGCGACAAGATCAAGCTCGTTTGCAAACTTCTTCAATCTGTACCTCGGTCGGGGCCAACACCATTGCTTGCCAGGTTTTCGTTTGCACTGAGTTGCTTTGCCTCTGGCTTTGCGATAGGTCCCAATGTGTTCACCAGGAACCCCCCCGGACCAAGTGTCAACATCATAGAGTCAAAGACTCATAGACAACTTGAGACCCTTAGATGACCAACTTGCCAGGCACGTGCCCGCCGACGGAATCTGCAACGTCGCAACTCCGACACAGCTCACTTGGAGGAACAGTGCTCGGAGCTCGAAAAGGTGCTGAAGCAATCCCACTCCTTCTTCAAAATGCTGATGACAGCTGCGTTCTCGGGGGACGAGGCCCTGTCACTGATGTTGTCAGTGGTGCCTTGGCCTAGTAGTAGCCGTTGTTTTCAGTTTGCGCACCCCAGCGGAATCACCACGGAGTCATAGAATCACACATGGATGTTTACAAACGGATGTACCTGGATGTAGGCTCTGAGATGTTATGTTGTAGTTATGTTACCTTATGTTATGCTGTTTCGGGTGTAGGAGCAGTATGCCACCTTCAGCTCGGGCGTCCACATGCGAGTGCTGAAGGGGCTTGTTGCCGACGATCTCCGATGGCGCCGCTGGGAGCGCATGTTGGGCGTCTCCTTCAGAATGGCAGCCACCCATTCTTCAGAGCCTGTCTCTTGGCTGATCAAGCAGCTCGCTCTGACACTGCAGCGTCTTCTACGAGGCATCCCCACCGACAAGGTGCCCAGCGTGTGTATGTGTGGTACTGAGTTTTCAAATTTTGTATTGTCGGGGTTGCTGTCAGTCGCTGTGAGGCGTCAGATCCCTCATGCGCTGAAGTGGCGGCGCTGGTCGGGTTTGTCAGGCACATGTCTACACACCTCACGATGGAGGAGCAGTGCTGCGACGAGTTCAAGTGCATGGATTTGATCCTTGCCCCATCTACTCGTCCACCCAACATGGTCATGACAGCGGTGGAAGCGGTGAGGAAAGCTGCAGCGTCAAAAGATTACAAGCTGCTGCCATCTTTCGAAGGGCTTCAACAAGGGAAGGCTCTCATCGAACACGCGACACGTGTTGCCAAGGAAAGATCTCTCACACACCAGCATCTTGAGCAACTGGCATCAGTTCATGGTCGCGCCCTGGCGATGACAAAGGCGAGTGACGCTTGGACTTCGTGCTCAGCGTCGCGCATGGCAGAGATTAATGAGCTCATGGCCCTGATGCACGACACCCTTCCCAAGCTCAAGGAGGTGTCGGAGAAAGTAACTTGTTTCGATGAGACAGTAGTACTATGATTCATAGCCGTTGCCATATCGCCCGCCACAAGCTGCAACTCACTACCGCACGATAACTTTTCCAATTCCCTCGTTATTGGCGTTGCGAGTCAAGTCACGAGTCACGAGCCACCAAATAATATGGGTGCAATTCCCAATCAGAAGTTCAGTCTAAGGTTGTGCCTCTTGTAGGACACGATGTTGGATTTCATTACTGTAGATGCTTCAACGCCCAACTGCCAAGGCAACGTTGGAAGAAGCCAGGAAGGCTATGTGTGACGTGATCGACAAGGTCACCCATTTGCATGTAGTCAATGACCTCACACCCTGGCTGGGATCAGCCTACACCACACTCGTCGCGGACTCCACCCTTCCTCGTATCCCGGGCTTTGACATAGCGACCCTGAAGCCGCACAAGACGGCCACTCCCCGCTTGACCGTGGCGATGGCCTTTGTGGAAAGCACGTGGGGTATGTCTGACCACGTCAAGGCGCTGGCCGAGAACAGTGACCCCAGGAACGTGTGCAAATCGGTGGAGAGCTGGATGTTGGCCTGTGACAACTTGATTAAAGCTGACCCAGCTGCCGAAGCTGCTCTGGTACCTGTCACGGTCAAGGTGAGGGGCATGGTCGAGACCTTCTGCAAGGGCAGACTGCAGGACTCGCTGTCACAGTCGGTGAGTTTGCTGGGAGCCTACATCTCCAAATCCTGCTTGGAGGCGCCAAGCAAGGCCGCCATTGACAGCTCCCTCGAGGGCTGTGACACGGCTTCTTTGCTTGCCACGAGCTTCACCGATGCTGAAGCTCGTCGTGACTGGCAAGCCGCCATCAGGTTGGTTCGCAACCTTGTGGTCTACACAACCACTGCTGCCGCCACCGACCACATGGCGACTATCACGAGCTTCAAACGCCTGGCAAGTGACTGTCAGCTGAACCTGGCAACGCTTGACATCCTGAACATGCGCATCGAGGTCAACACCTTTCTCGCGGTTGCGCATGTGGCCTACAGGCTCCTGTATGGGGCGAACCCGGATGGTTCTGATGACCGCACCGTGTCCCTTGAGAAGTTTGCTGGATTCCTTGATGCTTGGTTTGGCCATTGAGAGAGCGAGTTATTCTGTTTGAGTGCCAGTTGAATTGGCTGTGCCGGATGTCAATCGGTGGTGCGTTAAGCTCTGGAATAGTTGGATCAGTACATCCGCGTCTATGTACAACTTGTACAACCACATCACATATAAATATATGTGAGTTGAGTCAGCTGAGTTCAATTATAAGATTCGATGTTACGCCCGGCCCTGTGCATTTCTAAGGAGACATCGCTGACTGGCGGACTGACCTTGCTGCAGAACTTGCTGCGCAACGTCGCCAAGAAGATCGACGATGGAATCTCCTTGCACGACACGGTCAAGCAGACCATACCGGACCTCTGCGAGTCCAATGTTGACCAGTTCCATGCTGCGTGCGATGCCGGTGGCAGTGAACACTGTATGAAGGCAGCGGAGGCTTTGGAACGCGGGATCAGTGATGCCAGGGCAGTCATGTCAAGCCTTGACCTGCCCCAGGATCGCATCTTTCCCAGATTCACTGAGGGCTGCAACTGTCTGAGCCAGAGTCTACTGGTGATTGCGTCTTCCACATCCTTGCGGATATTGGGTAGCAAGGCTGCGGCAAGATTCATGCCAGAGGCAAGTGGCAGGGCGACACTTGGTGGCAACTGAGACTTTTAGCCAAGTGTGCGAACGTATTCCAAACCCGGACCCCTCTTTTTTACAGCACTGTCTCGTTCTGTTCACACAGGTTTCCCACGTCACATGATGAGCCACATGTTGTTTTGGAACTCTGAGGAAAAGCGCTCTGGACTTTGTGGCTGAGCATGGCTTGGAACTTCCCGGGTTCATCCAGGCCAGGCTAACAGACTTGACCTCAGCCGTGGAACGGAAGGGGTCTGCTCGCAAGTAGGGGGCCGCCTGCATGTGCATAGTTGTCACACAGTCACACAATTAAAGTCTGATCAATGCAGTCGTCGCACACCGTGACGTCCAATCTCCAAGTGCTTCAGCACCGTTGTCTCACACAAGGTTGCAGCGTGTCAGTTCTAAATTTTTGCCGTTGGGAAAATACCACATCGACGCCGAGTCAGATCAGATCACACCCATTCACGGCGCCCTGCGGGGCCGAGTTTGTGTTTCCGTGCCAGTTTACCCGCGTTTGAAATAGTACCGTGATTTTGGTTTCAATATTATGTTTTTGCTTGATGGTTCCCTCGAACTTGAGTAGCTGCTTCCTTCTTCGTGTCACATCTGTCAAGTAGTGATCGACCTTGTACAGCGCCTGCCCGTGGATCGGGGTTCAAACTGCTGGGCAGGTGAGATAATGTAGTGAAACTAGGCTAGGGGTAGACGCCTTCACCAGGACAATCGTCAGCAGAAAAACATTGCACGGACCCAGAGTGTAGTGAGTTGATCGAATCTGAGTAAAACAATAGAGTCAAACCATGATCACATCTGTGAATCGGATCGCAAGTCATGAGCCAGTCTCAGGACTATGAGTCGCACCGTTGCAGTCGGTTATCACGGACTCCTGAGTGATGTTCGGCTGTAGACGTGCCGGCTCCGGAGCGGTGAGGACGCCGCGCCTGACAGGCTGCCAGCTCAAAGCCATGCCGAAGCGTGCGCAGCCGGCGCCAAAATCCAAGTCGAGAGCTGCGAAGGCTAAGACCAAGCCTTCCAAGGACGAAGCGCCGCTGAGTTTCGACACTGTTCCGACTGCCGAGAGTTTCGAGAAGCTGTTCGGCAAGCCAGAGCTGAGCACCTTTGCTCCACAGCCGTTTTTTTGGGATGATGTTTTTGTTCCACGTTGTAGGCTTGATTTTGTTGGTCTCGATGCTGGTACGTCCTCTGTGCTCGAATTAGGTGTGCCCAAAGAGGATGTGGACCAGGACGCCCAGGACACCGTGCAAATGATCCAAGCACAGTGTACAGTGCGTAGATAGAAATGTTTCCTGCCCAGGACCCATTCCAGCCGGACGATGCAGCCAGCAGTTCCCGACCAGCTCTTGCTGAGCTGCCCACGCGCTTGCCGGACCTTGCTGAGAGTACCCCAGCGCCAGCTGATAAGGAGGAGGCCTTTGGAGCCGCCCCGGACGCTTCCTTGCCGGCTGATCCGGCCCTTGCTGAGACTGCCCCAGCACCAGCTTATCAGGAGATTGCGGCCTTTGGAGCCGCGCTGGACACCTCCTTGCCGGCTGATCCGGCCCTTGCTGAGACACCAGCTGATCAGGAGATCGCTGCCTTTGGAGCCGCGCTGGACGCTTCCTTGCCGGCTGATCCGGCCCTTGCTGAGACTATCCCAGCACCAGCTGATGAGGAGATTGCGGCTTTTGGAGCCGCGATGGACACCTCCTTGCCGGCTGATCCGGCCCTTGCTGAGACACCAGCCGATCAGGAGATCGCTGCCTTTGGAGCCGCGCTGGACGCTTCCTTGCCGGCTGATCCGGCCCTTGCTGAGACTATCCCAGCACCAGCTGATCAGGAGACTGCGGCCTTTGGAGCGGCGCTGGACGCCGCCTTGCCAGCTGATGACCCAGCCGAGACTGTACCAGCGCCAGCTGATCAGAAGATTGGGGCCCCTGGGGCCGCGTGCACCTTGCTGGACACCAACGTCAACACGGCGCCGGTCACGCCACCAACGGAGGGCCGCCCGAGGTCTACTGCTGGGTCGCCCGCGGTCGCTGCAGCGTCCGGCGCAGGCCACGTAAGCTGCCGGAAGTTTCAAGTTGTAAGTTTAAGTTCTATCTGTAGTCTGTGTCTGTAACACGAAGATGCCATGGTCAGAATTCAGAATCATCATATGGTCTCATATGGTAGCTAATTCGGCTGGACAGTTCTCCTTTTTTGAGTGGTGGTGAGTCGGAAGTTCCGAGTGATTCAACACGCAGACTCAGCCGACTTGCGCGCAGGCAGTTCTGGCGACGACGAGCTCGAGGAGTTCCAGGTGGACATGGAGGTGGACAACATCTTGGGAACGGTCGCTGCGGACACTTGGCAGGGCGGTTTCAATTTCAGGGATGTAGTCGAGTTTGTCTTGGCATACTTGGTATTCAATTCCAGATCATTGTTGTTGATGCTGCATGTCAAACGGAGTGTTAATTCATAGCCTTAGCCCATAGTTGTTGTTCCTTTTGGGATGTAGGGCCATGTAGTTCTTCATTTGGGGTGCGTAGGTGCATGTGAGAGAGCGTGTGTGTTTGTGAACTGTTTGTGTGTGTGTGTGTGTGTGCGTGCACAGTGTGTGTAAGAGCGTGTGTGCATGTGTGTGTGTGTGTGCTGGTGTGTGTGTGTGCTTGTGCTTGTGTGCTTGTGTGCTTGTGTGTGTTGTGTGTTGTGTAAGTGACTACTGTAAGTGTGTGTTGGTGTGTGTGTTGGTGTGGTGTGTTGTGTAATTGTGTGTTGGTGTGTGTTGTTGCGTGTGTGTGTGTGAGAGTTGGTATGTGTGTGGGTGTGTGTGGGTGTTGGTGCGTGTGTGTGTGTGTGTGGCTGTGTGTGTTTTGTTGGCTGTGTGTGGGTGTGTGTGACGGGGGCTGAGCGGGGGACATTGTTTGCAGCGCAAGGTCACAAGTGACGCGTGGCAAGCGACGTGTTTTGTGTGTTGGTCAGTGTGCGCGCAAGTGCGTGGCAATGCCATGCCTTGTGTTCATATCCACGACCAGGCTATGGCGAATCGGCTTCGGCGTCTTGATGATATGCAGGGAGGCAGCATCCGCAGCCGCCTGGACACTTGGCCGTCGGCCTTCTGGAAGATTGGGACAGGATGCTCCGGGACAGGTTCGTTGCCTGGCGGAAAGAAGGACCCCACTGTGACAATATGTTTGCTCCGTATTCCGGTTGGACACACAGTTGTCTTGAACAAAAAGCAACGTAGGGCTTTTTGCGGTGTCCCGTTTGCGTCTCTGCTCAGGTTCGAGGCATGTTTCCAAGTCGCCCTCGACGCCTTGCTGAACGCGTTCGAGATGGAGTCCAGCGAGGACCCCCCTAGTGCATGACTTTGACTTGCGCGATGACGTAGTCAATTGGTCTGATCACCAACGCTCTTGCCGTTGAATGTTACACGGTACACGGAGGTGCACAATGGTGCACAGTAGCTGCACGAGTCGCGTGGACGCTACATGTTGTGCCAGTAGCAACTTTGTCAGGTCGATGTGGCCTATGCGGTTGAGTGCAAGGCCTTCAAGCAGCGGTTTCTGAGGCTGGCTCTGCCAGATGACAGCTGTCTGTTCGAGGAGCATCTGCATTTGTTTCAATTTGGCTTTCTATACCACACGATGTTTTGTTCTGGTTGTCTATGTGTAGTTTTCCTATGCTTGTGAATCTTTTGAAATGTTAAGTAGTTATAAGTTATTAGTTAGTTTTGAGTTAGAAGTTATAGATATAAGTTATAAGTTATAAATTATAAGTTTATAAGTTATAAGTTGTATAAGTTGTAAGTTAGTTATAGGTTATAATGGTAATTTTAAGGCAGTAGTGATAAGTTATACTGCGTATGAATCATGATTCGATATGATATGTTTCATGATATATGATGTCACGTGTCACATATCTCGTCAAACTAATTACTATACAAGTTCCCATGTAAATTGTAATTTAACACCAGGTATGCTCCAGCAGAGCTGGAGGGCAGAAGTTTCCAGACAGGAAGAGAAACCCTTGCACCATGCGCGCACGCGTTTGTGGCCGAGTTGGCCTCCGCAGTCGAACTGGCAGGTGGAGCGTCCTCTGAGTTCTCTCTTTGTTTGTCTGTTTTTTTTTTAATATTTCTTTGTTTCTTTTTGTTCTTTCTTTCTTTCCTTTGTCTTTTTTTCTTTGTTTCTTTCTTTCTTTCATGATTTATGTCCTTTCTTTCTTGCTTTCTTGCGTTCTTTCTTTCTTTCTTTCTTTCTTTCTTTCATTCTTTCTTTCTTTCTTTCTTTCTTTCTTTCTTTCTTTCTTTCTGTGTTACGTTCCTTCTTTCGTTCTTTGTTTATTTCTTTGTCCTGATAGTTTTGAAAGCCGCCACCGCCAACACCCATACATTGTGAAGGGCATCATGCACCTTCAGGTCAGAAGTTGGCACAAAAGGACATGTGTTGGTATGACCTAGTTGCGGCCAAGCTTTGCAGGACATGCGGGAGATCGCAAACTCGGAGGCCAGGAAATGCGTGGTGCATGAGCGGAACTGCCCGTTGCCCCGGAGCATCGACGCTTTTGGGTCCGGCTTCAGCTGCACGTCGTTTTCCAGCCTCAACGGCGAGAGCCAGCTGAACACAGCTGCAGTGGCCGAGCAGAAGGCGAGTCGCATGTCCCCCTAACGCGTTTGAGGTTCCTGGTGCACATTCCATAGTCCTGATTCTTTTTCATTGCGTTACTGCACACAGGGCGTGGCGTCTGTGGAGACCTTCAGCGGCTGCGTGCAGCTGATCGGAGCGGGGGCTCCCAAGTTCTTCATCCTGGAGAACGTTCCCCGCATTGACGCGGCGGCCGACTCTGAGCAGCAAACTTGGCTGCATATATGCGCGCGCGGCGCGTGTGCAACAGCTTGCTTGCGACCCAGACTGTCGCCCTGCGTCGCATCAGTGAGCTGCTGTTTGCAGGGTTAGACCAAGAAACTATGATCAGAATCCGAACCATTCCATTCATCACACACGGTTCTGTGATGATTCGATCTCACTGAGATCACGATTCAAGTCAACTCAGTTCCTATTCATACTGCTTCGTACGACGTGTCACATGTCACAGTCACATATCACATATCATCACATATTCGACATCGTGTCGACTCATATCAAATATCATACCAGATCGAATCGTATCGTCGGATCAAACCTTCAAAGTTTTCCTATCATTTGTCGTTCACGTTTCGATGATCAGTGACATCGCTGCCCAAGGCAGACGAATCTGGAGACTTGCGTCGGCATCCTGGAGTCCATGCGGGGCTACGACGACTTGCGGTACTCCGTCCGGCCGTTCCTGATCAACTCGCTGTGGTACGGCCTGCCACAGTCAAGGGCGAGGATGTACATCGTGGGCATCAAGCACTGCGGGGTGAACATGAACCCGGAAGATTTTCTGGACACTGTGCAGACCTACCTGTCGCACCTGCAGTTCTCTCCTCCGGACCCAGCTGCTCGGCTTCCCAGCTCGCTTTGGATCGTGTTGGGGCAGCTACCGTTATCCGGGGTGCTTCTGCACACACATGTCACATGACTCGACACACGTGTCACATGAGTAATCGTTGTTCACACACCACTTCACATTGTTCACACACATCGACATCGACAGACCCCTCAGAAGTCTCATAACCCCCCACTGTAAGACGCAGACTTCCATCTGAACACAGCTATGGCCGTGGCCCATAGCCCATAGCACATCGACTCTATGAGTCTATGAGTTTACATGGACATATGTAGTCAACCACTGGCCAGGCTGGCCATTGGTGTTTTCCACCCAGGTCCAAGATGTAACTTGTATGTTTGTTCGCGCGCTTGTCCGACCACACTTGTGTGGACAATTTGCGCATTGTGCGCCACAGTGGCTACACTTGTGCTTGCGCCGAGCACACTTCACCTATGTCGCTATGTGCGATTTGCATTTATGGTTTCAGATTTGCCTGGCTTTTCTTTTTCCGCGGCGAAACCCTTGTTTCTGATCAATGCATCAATAGTCATATATATCCGTTTCCCGTGCCCCGTGTCGTTCGATCGATACTTGCCAGGACAGCCTCCTCTTGCCGGACGCCAGCTCTCAGGTGGTGACCGAGCTCCAACGCCTTCAAGAGGTGCGCCGCTCGAGCGGGGTGACCACCGGCACCCACGAGAAGAGCCAAGCCTGGGTGCGAATGCACATGTCTTTGGCGGAGAAGAGCCAATCGCTTCAACTTCTCTGTCAAACGCCATGATCACATTTTTTGTTTGTGTACCATTTTTTTGCTCTGACTCTTTTTTTTTTAAGATTGAAGTTTGTTTATATATTTTTTTATTTTGCTTGGGTTTGTGTACCGTGGACCATGACACCCCGAATGAAGAATCCTTGCTACCCTTTTGTACCTCCAGCCAAGGAGGGGTTTCATGGCCGATTGTGCCCTCGGAGGAGCTGACCAGCAGCCCGTGGTATGAAGTGCTGCCGGCAAGGATGCGCGAGGCTTGTTCGGCTGTCGCAACGTTTGATGCGGATTCCTGTGAGTCGTGAGCCGTGAGTCGACGCTAGGTCCTCGCTTTTGCAGAGCTCGACCGCCAGAAGAAGGACTTCGCGTACGCGGACATTTACCACAGCGCCTACCGTTACAGCACTGGGCCCCAGCGCCACACGCCGTGCGTCCTCCCATCCAGTGTGATGTTCTCTTTCCATCGGCGCCGCCTGCTTTTGGGCGCACCTGCATCATTGCATGTTTTACTACAGTTTCAGATGTTGCAGTTACACTACATTTGATTGGTTAGTGTTGTTTGTTTTGGGGATGAGCGTGAGCACTTTCATTTCATTGTTGCTTTTTGTTTCTTTACGGCCACCCACCCACCCACCCACCCACCCACCCACCCACCCACCCAACCACCCACCCACCCACCCACCCACCCACCCACCCACCCACCCACCCACCCACCCACCCACCCACCCACCCACCCACCCACCCACTTGCCGGTCATATCAGCCAAGGACGCGAATGCATGCGGATGCAAGGCCTATCGGGCATGCACTTCAATGACCGCAACTTCGATCAGTTTACGGAGGCGCAGCTGTGCGATCTGGCCGGCAACGCGTGCCGTGGCTTTAATTTTGATCCTGGTATCATATCATTGATATCACTGATGACTCACTCACAAATGACTCATCGGTCGTTGACAGATTCACTGACGCATTAAGCGTTTTGTCACGGTCACTTTACCATTGATTTCGTTCAGTCTTGCGGATGGATGTTGACCGAGTGCCTGATTGCGTGCGTGTGAGCGCCATACAGAGTCATACATATCGTCACATGACTACCTGTCAGGTGCTCAGGGACCGTGCTCTTGGGGGTCCTCCTGGCGATCCTTTCGTGCGTGTGCTACCCGACTGATTCGCAACAGGCGGAGGGCGATGACATCGATGCGGTGCTGGGCTCGCTGAGCTCATTTGCCAAAGGGCTGCATTGATTTGCAGCTACCGTGATTTGCGCCAACGTGGCGCTCGCTACCGGTTGCCGTGATTTGGCTGTGCCACTCAAAAAAAAGGTACTAACCTTTTGGGCCCCCTGGATGGAAACAAAGACAGACACAAAAACAACACCTGAGTACCCCCGCCCATACTATAACTTACTATGACTATAACCATGAGTCCATCTCAATCTCCCTCTTTTTGAGGCACACCAAATGTGCGGCTGTTGCGGGATTTGCGCCAACAGGGCGCTCTCTGAGTTCATTTGCCAAAGGGCAGCAGTGATTTGCAGCCATCGTGAATGGCGCCAACGGGGCGCTCTACCGGTTGCCGTGATTTGGCTGTGCCACTCAAAAAACGGTAGTGTTACTTAGGACTAAGTACCAACTTACCTTTTGGGCCCCCTGGATGGAAACAAAGACAAGCACCAAAACAAAACCCATACTGCTGATACCCCATCTCAATCACCTTTTTTTGAGGCACGCCACATGTGCGGCTTTTGCGGGATTTGCGCCAAGGCGCTCTCTGAGTTCATTTGCCAGGTGATTTGGCTGTGGACCTCAAAAAACGGACCAGCCTTTGGGACCCCTTGGACGAGTGCCATCTCAATCTCCTTTTTTTGAGGCACACCAATTGCGCGGCCTTTGCGGGATTTGCATATGCCAGAGTGCTGCAATGATTTGCGGCTATCGTGAAGTGTGCCCAACGGGGCGCTCGCTGCCAGCTGCCGTGATTTGATTGCTTCACCCTGAGCATGAGCAACCCGAACCCCCCCTCCATCTCAATCTCCTTGGTTTTGGGTTTTGAGATACCCATTTTGCGGCTTTTGCGGCGCTTTTGTGTGATTGCGCCAAGGGGGCGCTCGCTGACTTCATTTGCCACAGGGCTGCGTTGATTTGCGGCTATCGTGAATGGCGGCTCGATGCCGGCTGCCGTGATTTGGCTGTGGCTCAACGTAGGGCCCCTAGTCATAGTCATAGACTCATTGACTCATAGACATAAACGCCAGAGTGGAAACAAATTCAAATACAGTTGAATCAAAAGACAAAAGCCCGAGTACCCCAACTGTTCACCTTTAAGCCACACCCATTTGCGGCGTTTGCGGCACTTTTGCGTGAGTTGCGGAATTGCGCCAACTGGGCGCAAAGAGCTGGTGCGATTTGCCCGGAGGGCTCCAGCTTTAGGGTGAATTGCGCCAACTGGGTGCGACTGACTTCATTCAAGCCACGTGGGCGCGACTACGCGCAAGCCAAGTGATGATGCGACAAAACAAGCGTTCCCTCGCCAGCCTGCTTTCCTTTGCCAATCGTCGGCTTGTCGGCGGGGTAGTCAGTTTGTTGTCGGCATGTCGTTGGTCTGTCGTCGGTCCGTCGTCGGTCCGTCGCCACGCCGTCGTCGCTCCGTCGTCGCCCCGTCGTCGCCCCGTCGTCGCCCCGTCGTCGCCCCGTCGTCGCCCCGTCGTCGCCCCGTCGTCGCTCCGTCGTCGGCTTCTCGTCGATTCGCCGTCTTGCTGCCGCTAGCCTGGCATCGTCCGTCGCCACTTTGACCGCCCATGTTAGTTTAGGCTCGTCGCGGCCCGTCGTACCACTTTCGACCCATTGACTAACACATGTCTTTTGAAAATAGATAAGCTATATGTGCTATATCTCACAAGGCAAGCCACTGAACATCCACTCTCCCCGGGTTCCTTGCTATATGTACTATATGTGCTATATGGCCCTATATAGCACATATAGTACAGATTTCGCGCGTACAGAGTATATAGCACATATAGTACATATAGCAAGGAGCTGGGGGAGAGTGGGGGTTCAGCGGCTTGGCGTGTAAGATATAGCACATATAGCACATATAGCCAGGGCCCGGGGGAGAGTGGAGGTTCCGCGGCTTGGCGTGTAAGATATAGCACATATAGCACATATAGCAAGGACCCGGGGGAGAGTGGGGGTTCAGCGGCTTGGCGTGTAAGATATAGCACATATAGCACATATAGCAAGGACCCGGGGGAGAGTGGGGGTTCAGCGGGTTGGCGCGGCTTCAATGCCGGGCAGGCGCGGCAGGGTGGCGCACCCAAGCCGCCGTATGACCGTATGATCCGTATGATTCGTATGACTCGGCGGGCTGGCGTGTCAGGCGCGCCTGGAAACAGGCACCAACCTTTTTTTGGTTGCTGCCCGCGTGGAGTTCCGCGTGGAGTTCCCCTCAATCCTGGGGCCACAACAGGATTGAAGGGAGCAATCCTGGGGCCACAACAGGATTGAAGGGAGCAATCCTGGGGCCACAACAGGATTGAATCCAAGAACATGTTCATCCGACATGTATTCCGACATGTTGAAGAAATTAAGCGTATAGCAAGGAACCCGGGGGGAATTTCAATGCAGGGATACTGCAGGGAATCCCTGCATTACCGGTATCTCTTTAGAGGGGGTTTCCCAAATGGTTTATATTCTACCTGAGAGGCTCCCAGCACTCGTCCGTCCAGCATTTGACCTCGTCCTGCGAAGGATTCGAAGTCTAAAACGCTGCGTGGAGGCGTGAGGCTGCAAAATAGTGACCCCTAGATCTGCGCCGCAATTTGGCTCCAGGTTGCATTTCAAGCGATGTCAAGCTTTGCCAAAGGAAACCCCTTTTCCCTTTTTTTCGAGGACCCCTTTTTTTTTCGAAAAGGGTGGGGGTTTCTTCCTTTTTTTTATGTTTTTTTCTAGACCCTGCACAGGAGTTGGCTCGCTTGAAATGCTACCGGAGGAGACCAAATTGCAAGCATATCAAGGGTCACTATTTTGGCAGCCCCTCACGCCCTCCACGCAGCGTTTAGACTTCGAATCCTTCGCAGGACGAGGTCAAATGCTGGACGGACGAGTGCTGGGAGCCTCTCAGGTAGAATATAAGCCATTTGGGAAACCCCCTCTAAAGAGAGAGCCTGCCCCAGCGCCTCGCACCACCTCCGCAGCACCTCGTGCTCCTCCGGCAGCTCTCGGATCCCGCCTCAGCCTCAGCCCGCAGTACTGCGCCGGGCTGCTGATGGCCACCTTGGGGCTCTCGCCGACGGCCATGAGCTGGCGCCGTGCCTCCCGCAGGTCCTCGCACCAGAACAGCCCCGGCTGCACGTCCGCGGCGTCAAAGCCTCCACTCTTGGATGGGCGGCAGGGTCTGCCTCGCCTTGCCCCGGTAGAGCACGCGCGCCGCCTGCCTCTCCAGCACCCGCTTCATCGCCCTGCGAGCTCAGCACGCGCATGGGGGCGTTGCGCCACACGCAGAACTCTCGCGGAGATGCCGAGGCGCCTCCAGTCGTGGCGCAGCATGCGCTCAGCAGCACGTCCTCCTCGCAGCTGGAAGCTCATGCTCCTCAGGCCCCTTATGCGCTGGTGCAGGAGCGTCTCCACCTCGGTCCTGGAGCGCACGGGTCTGGCGAGGCCTCCACTTGCCCGTTCCGCCCACTGCGACGCCTGCCCCGGATGATCGCCGGCACGTGGACCAGGTGCTCTCCGCCCTGCAGGGAGCGCACGAGCTTCTTCTGCCCGTTGCGCAGCAGGATGTAGTCGTTGGGCCCCTCGCGGATAGGGGCTGGTTGTAGTCAAAGTCCTTGCTGGGGGGCCGCAGGCCCAGGGAGTAGTAGTGCTGGCCCGCCCGGGTCAGCTGCGCGCGGGCCCCCGCTCCGCGCCGCAAGTTCAGCACGACGGCTCCATCCGCCCCCGTGCGAGCCCGGGCGCCGTCGTCCTTTGGGAGTGCGTCCTCTGACACTCACCCTTAGGGGTCGGGGGGAGTTCGGAGTCTTTTTGGGCCCTTATAGGAACCTATAGGAACCTATAGGAATCTTATAGGAAACTCATAGGAAGTCCATTGGAAACCATCTTCTTCTTTTCCTATGGGTTTCCTATGGACTTCCTATGAGTTTCCTATAAGATTCCTATAGGTTCCTATAGGTTCCTATAAGGGCCCCGCCGCCCAACCCGTTCAGGTTTGATACTGGTCCGCCCAACCCGCGCTCGGTACTGGCTCGCCCAACCTCGTTTTGATACTGGCTCGGTGAACTGGGCCTGTTTTTGTGTGTTTTTGCACGCTTTTGGGATTGCACGCTTTTGCACCCTGATTGCACCCTAATTGCACCCTGATTGCGGTTGACTTTTTGCTAGTTTTTTCTGCTTGATTATGGGTTCTCGCCCAGCAGGCCCGGGTTTTTTGGCAACG